GACAAGCGGCGTCTCGTGCACCATCTCCTCCGGCTCCGCCATCTCCTCCTCAGGATCCTGCACCGTCTCCTCCTCATGCTCCGCCAGCACCGTCTCCACCTCAGGCTCCAGCATCGACTCCTCCTCAAGATCCTGCACCGACTCCTCCTCGTGCTCCTACACCTACTCCCCCGCAAGCTCCTCTTCCGGCACCTTCAAAGTCAAGGGCCCCCCCAGCTCCACCGCCTGCCCACACAAGGGCAACGAAGAAGGCGAAAGTTGACGCCGCCAAGAACAAGGACCCGGGGTACGATTGCACGCAAGAGGAGCTTGACGCTTACGTTGCATCAGAAGTCAAGAGACAATTCAAGCCTCGAAGTCCAAAAAAGAAGATTCCTATAGACCCCACTGTCAGGAACTTCTTCAGGGGTATGTCTGCATCTGTCAAGGAGGCCATCAAGCTATCGGACTATGAGCGAACGCTGAAGAAAGCATCTTCTGGAAAGTCCAAACCAGTCCCTCAGCTTGGAGAGCAACCAAACCAGGAGATCGAGCCGTTGGTGACCGGTAAAGAAATGACGATAGAACAATTTATTACTGACACCGGTCTAACTACGGATCAATTGCTAGGAGTCGCACCAATCGAAAAGGCGGAAGTAAAATACATGTACGAACTCGGTAAACCGCTTGTCAAGCCTGAGCTGCTGCAGTCCCTACCCACACAAATGTACAAGTTCCATCAGCTGTACATGGAGATGAGCGCCACCGGTAGAGAGATGATCGGAGCGAGGATCAGGGACACGGACTTCTTGCAAGGAGATGACATTCTCTGGATCAATTTCAGGGGAATCTACGAACTATACCAGCTGGACGCCCTCGACGTCTCTATTATGAGTTGCTGGATTTTGTAAGTATATCGTTCAGTTAGATTTCTTACTATACGTCTCCTTTAATTAATTAGGTCCTTGTATATAAGTAGACCATAGAAAATAATATACTCCCTTTTATCGTTGTAGAATGGAGATTCAAAGGGCCCGACGGCGGAGGGTTTTCGATACTGGATTCATCGACCCTCGGAAAGTAAACGTCGCAATGCTCGACCAATATCCACAAGAAACAGAGGACAATCTCGTCCATCTCCTGAAGGCGCAACATTACAAGACGTTCATACTGTTGCCATACAACACAGAGTTAGTTTAATTTTACTGTCTTCCTACATACCAAATTTCATTCCCGTACGAACTTGCTAAGTGTTTCATATGTAATGCATCCCACGCACATTGCAGATTCCACTAGGTGCTTTTATTCATCGACCTGGAGGCCTGCACCGTCAACGTATATGACTCAATGGATAAAAAAGAGTCTACATTTGACAAGGTTTTCGAACTTATAGACAGGTACCGTCATAAGTTCCTTTGTTAATTAAGAAAATCTTGTTATGTTAATTGCTACTATGAATTATAGCTTTAAACTCCATGTAGGGCTTGGTATCGGTTCCGTCATTTGGTCCGCGGCAAATGGAGAGAAAGACTTAGGCGGAAGTTCAAATTTCCTGTGAGTACACATGCTCTACATTTATATTTCTCCGATTCAAATACATACAAGTGTATATTAATTAGATCTCTCGTTGTTTGTCATTTATTTGTAGTGCGCAAAGCAAAAGCAGGGAACTAACTTGTGCGGCTATTACGTGTGCGAGTATTGCCACTGCCTTGCAGACCAAATCATCACCACAAGAGAGCTCGATGTAAGTACAAATAAATTCAAAATTTCATTACGTAGCGATTTCTTGTTTAATTACTAATCAATTTCATACATTCATATAGTTTATTCGCATGAGGGATAACCTGACCACACACAAGGAATTTATCGCGGCGGTTCAAGAACAACTCATGGGATTCATCAACAAAGAAATCCTTGATCCCAAGGGTGAATTCTACTACGACGGAAACACAATTCACCGGTCCTTAGCTTCTGAGCTAGCAGCGAGTACTACTACGTCGAAATCGTAGCTAGCTAGGACATATAATGGATTGTAATTAATACATGACTACATATGTTTCTATATGCATGTGTACACATTTTCTATAATGTAAATATATTTTGGTCATATATATATATCTATATACATATGCATTTGCATAACATATATATGTATAAATACATATATATTATGCATGTATATACATATAATATAATATAATATATATATATATATACATATATATATGTATGCATATATATGTATTGAAACATATACATGCATGGTTTATATATATATATATATATATATATAAACCATGCAGCAACAGGGCCATGCAAAAAAAAAAAAAGGTCAGCTCGATCTTTAGTCCCGGTTGGTGTTACCAACCGGGACTAAAGATCGATCTTTACTCCCGGTTATTTCACCGCTATCTTTAGTCCCGGATTGGTACTCCCGGTTTGGAAACCGGGACTAAAGGGAGGTTACGAACCGGGACTACAAAGGGTTTCTCCACCAGTGCTAATAGAATGATCAACAAGCTGCAAACTAGAGTGAGCCATTGGAAGCAAACATGAGCTCGACACCACCAAGTAACGAGCTTCTGGTAGGCTCGAGCTTGGCTCTGTCAAAGCTGGATTATAGCACAATCGCAGCAGAAAGAATGAAAAGGTTGTATTTCTCACTAACAGTGCTGACAAGAAGCTGTTCAAGCTTTGAAAAATAAAGCTTGCAAAGTGGCGAGTTTGCACTGGGAAGCTCGCATTTGTCAACCTTTTTACAAGGCCATCCTGCTAGCGTGCGAGAGCTGGTTCAAGTGCCATCAATCCATAAGTTCTTTATATATAAATTGTCGTGTATTATGTAATTTTGATGTCTAAAGAAAAGATCGTAGACGTTTATGAAATTACCATTTTTTATTTCGTAAGGACACACAATTGCTTTGGCCCAACTTATATGAACACTATTCACCTGTTACACATAGTGACGAAAACGGATCTGAAACAAACGGAAACTAGCTAGTGTGCGTAGTGTCTGGCACTTCTTTTGTATTTACGATGGTCTCCCACCACTCATGTACCGTCGAGGTTGGTTGCCAGTAAACAGGGCTTAGGTGGTCGCAGGCCGTCTAATGTGCGATTTCATTCTAGATTCTCTTTGTGTATCTGTATTCTGCCAGTAGGTATAGAGCCGTCTCTTGCACCAGTCAAAAATTGGGCGCTTAATTTTCTAGACATGAACACAGTAGAAATAGAAGGCATTGGAACAATCCCTACAATCTAATAGAATCGATGAAGAGCTGTGAACTCTTTCAAGGCCGCAATGGCCCCAAATACGAGCTCTTCATCAGCTAATTAAGCCAGGGCCACGATCCGATCCAGCCTGCAGCCATGGGCAGATCCGGATTCTGGTCCGTTGCCCAAATCTCACACACTTGTTTCTTCAATTTCTGTTTGATCTGCCGCAAAAGGCGAAATGGCTAATGAACGACTCTATTATTTTTTTTCCTTTTAGCAAATAACTAAAACGACTTGATTAATCACGGGCTCAACCTAGTTCTTCCTGATTTTTCACACACTTGTTCTCTTTTGTTTGTATGTATTCCACGGAAGGCCCATCGAGCAGGCATGCTATGTGGTCTGCCCCAAGCCCATTTGGACGTTTTATTTTATTTTTGTTTTAATATTCATTTGCATAAAATTTTGATATCTTAATATTTCTATGGAAATTTCTATCTACAAAGTTTATATGTATAAACTTTGAATATATAAAGTTTCTTTGGTGTTATACACTATGTATAATGTCAAAACAAATGAATTTTTAATGGACGGAAAAATAAAAGTGGGTTATGCAGACAATTTTTTTTCTAAGCCACAAAGTATGGCTAATCAGGGGAAAAGAGAGACGTGGGTTGAGAAAATGCTTGAGAAATATAAATGGACTAATACTTGGGCCATCCAGTTCACAATTTTTTTTTCTCTGTTTGTACTTCTTACACCATTTCTCTCTGTTTTTCTTTGCTCAAAGTACACCTATATTACTACAAAATATGCAAAAAAAAAAAATGCAGCCATTATGTTACCAAGAGATTATTTTGTAGTAAACTGACGACCAAAAAAGGACCAAGTTTGAAGTGGCAGAGCTTCAGTTCCCCTACCTAGCATGCCACTGTTACTTTATATATGCTAATAAACTGACGACTAAAGGTGAGCATATATAAACTGATCTCCATTGAAGAGAATGGCATTGTGATGTTATTGCAAGGCAAGCGTAGAACCCGTTAGAATTTCATGCTCTTTGAACAAATATATATACGGAAACTATAGAATGGAATGCATTGGGACAAGCGATACTACGAAGTGTACAAGAATTGGTAGAGCAGTGTATTTGTCATCCATTGAGCTAGAGTGTCATGATAATTTAGTGTCATTTGACTAAATAGAAGAGGGGAAAGCCATCAATCATTGAAGAAATAGGAGAATTTTTATAAGTCGGTCACCGAAATGAGGAGTAGCTGGCTGCGTCGGTGGTGCATAGGTGGCGGCGTCCTCCAGTTGTGAACTTGTGAAGGCGACGGCGATGGCCCAGGTGGATCGAGCGGCACCGGCAGCCCTTGTGGATCCAGTGGGCAACGACGACAATAACGACGTCGATGGCGATGGGCTGGGTGGATTGAGCAGCAACTACGGCTCTTGTGGAACCAGCAGGCAACGACACGATGACCTCAGCGATGACAACCCCGGCGGCGATGATGACAACCTCGACGGCAATGGTCCGAGTGGATCTAGTGGGCTAGGGTTTTGGGTGATGGTGCAAATCGGGTGGCGGCGGATCCTTCTAGGGTTTCTGGGCTAGGGTTGGATTTTTGGAATTTTTTTTTGCGATATTTTTGTCGCAATCGGTTGGTTTAAACGCCCTAAATTTCACATACTATTACGGCTCTACCCACTTGTAAAAATCTGCGAAAATCGATTTTAGCTGCATGGAAAAATGGATTATATAGTGGTGTGATTAGACACCCGATGAGCCCCAACAGGGCCAGCCAGAACATTCTAATTACATTGAGCATTTACTGCGAGAACAAGTACGTTACTAGGAAGATTATATTTTTAATTTCTATAGAAACATCGATATCCTACAGCATGTTTGCCAATGGTCGAGCTTGGGGGCCGCAGGAATAGGGATGGATGCCCTCAGCCCTCATTCAAAATTAAAATTCGTAAAATTATTTATTGTTGATAGTATAATTATTCTACTCTAAAATATGATGAGTCGATAATAATTTCAGATTTTTCATCTTTGCTTCAAACTTTTCTTATCATGCCAGCTTGATTAACTAGCTGTTGGTCCGTAGGAGTCCTGTCTGATTCAATGTTCTTTCTTTAGGATTAACCTTTTTGGCACAGTTAGGTTCTTCTACTTGTCCTTTCAGAAAGTACAACCACAACTCGTTACTAGTTATCTACCATGTGCAAAAAAACATATCCAAATTAAAGTGATATAATTCTTTTTGCACTATGCATCAAGTGCTTTCGCTTATAAATGTTGCATATATCATGTTACATGTGAAGTGATGCATGCTCCTTCTGTTAGCTGCTTGTAGGGTAGGCTCAAGCCTACCAGAAGCTGCTTGTAGGGTAGGCTCTCGTTACTTGGTGGTGTCGAGCTCGTGTTTGCCTCCGAGGGCTCACTCTAGTTTGTAGCTTGTTGATCATTCTATTAGCTAGTATACACCTTTAGGGCTTATTCGGAATATAGGATAGGAAAAACGAAGGAATAGGAAAAATATAGGAATATGGTAGGATTGTATGCGTAAAACAGAGGATTGGAAAACATAGGAATTTCTTATTCTCCGTTCGCAGGATTCTTACAGCAAAGAGGCTAGAGTGGATTCTTTTTTTCCTGTGAAAACATGGGTAGGGAATAGTATTCCTATGGAATTCAAGATAGCTAACCCTTTCAAACGAATGCATCTACCGTACCCAGTTCAAAGGAATCATCAATCCTCCATTTTTCCTTTACATTTCCTCCATTCCGAATGAGCCCTTAGACTTGGAAGGCACTGGGAATACGACTAGCACTATTGAGTACAGGTAAGGGGGCTTTCAAAGCCCATCTCCTTCTGCCCGCCATCCTCACCCTCGCCCTTGGGCCGGTTCATCAAGTTAGCTGGGAGGTACATACGCCATATTCACTGATGCAGCATATTTTATTACAATTATTACTGTTGTTTGATTCAAAACTGTTTTTCCTTGCGATTCAACTATCTCGCGCAACAATATTTAATTTCTCTTTGTTTTTTTTTTCCATTTTCAGTTAAGACGAGGAAGAGCAGAGATTATGGTATCCAGTGATCTCCGTGACTCCGTGTGCTTTGTTAAAATTAATGGAGACCATCAGCGGATGATGAGCGTATACTACTACGTGCCGATGTCATTTTAGTGCTACTACTACGTACCTTACTACAATTCCGGCCAGTAAAGATGCATTTTGGTGCTACTACCTACCGATGAATGAAACCATTCAAAGATGTAGTGGTGCTCTTGAGACGTACATCGGCACAAAACTAAAAGGAAGGTGTCGGAAAAAACGAAAAGTAAATTATATGTGAAAAACACTTTAAGCTGGCTGTACGATCTCGCATAGAGTTTTTGAGAGCCCGTGTTCTGTATGCCATGGGAATAGAAGAAAGGAAGGACTTGGTAGAAAACTATTATTAACTAGATAAATACATCGTCGTGTGTTGCTACAAGAAATTAAGTTGTATAATATGTATAAATAATGTGCAATATATTTTATAAAACCAAAAACAATATGGATTCCTATGTTTTACGTAATTTGTACATGGTTGTAAATATAGTTGTTAACGCCAAAATTTGATAATCCCGAAGTTATCATCGGCAAAGCAAACATATTTTATTTGACCAATACTTGTGAATTTTGAGCCTAAAAAACTATTCAAATTGCACAGTTTTATGAGAGAAGAAAGAGATAATTTGTGCCATATATATATCTCTATTATCCGAAGGGTAAAAATAATTGTGGTGATGTGACTTCATGAGAAAAGATCGAGAAATAATATTTTCTACACTTAGTGAGGATTGTATATATAGGTTGTTTGCTAATTAAGAATGAACTTTAGTTAGATCTGGTTCATGTCACTCCCTACATAGTAATATTTCAGTCTGCCAATGAACACAATGCTGCATATTGGTCTACCGTGAGTTCACTTGTCGGTGTTAATTTTTTATTTTCCAAGTATTGAACACAGCACCGTCACCAAGTATACTTATGACTTGTTCGGCATAGCTCCAACTCTGTTTTTTTTTCCTGAACTACCTAGCTTCAATTTTTCTTTTGCAGATAGAGTTGCTGCTGCATATATATATATATATAACAGTTATCAGGGTGATATTTTACACCAAAGTAAAAATGATTAAGCCACATTAATTTAATGTATAAACTCTATTTTCTAGAAGAATTTAAGAGTTAGAACCATATTAAACAGACCTAATATGAACTACCAATCGGGGGCCATATCACCATTCATATCATTACTCTGCCCATTCATATATGTAAACACGGAAATCCAATTTCAATAGTTGAAGAGATTTGTACCTTGCAGTTAAGAGTGATCAGCGGGCTGGCTATCCTTTTTCGCATCTTCTCTTAATTTATCTTCCTGCATACATACTATGCCCATTTGATACTATGTTTTTTTTTCAATGTACACTGAACACGCAGTTAATAAACTGGATGATACACTACTGGAGAAACGATCTTTGGAGGGTCGAGCGATTTCTACAATAGTCTCAGTTCTAATAAGAACCGGGACTAAAGATTGTTTTTAGTCCCTGTTAAAAAAAATTGATCTTGACCAACCGGAACTAAAGATGATTTTTATTCCTGGTTCATCCCCTGTCAGAAGCTTGTGAGAGGGCCGAGGATCTTTAGTCCCGGTTGACACTACCAACCGGGACTAAAGATTACCACTTTAGTCCCGGATGGTACTATCAACCGGGAGTAAAGATCATTTAGATCTTTATTCCTGGTTTGTACTACCAACCGGGAGTAAAGATCTATCTTTAGTCCCGGTTGGAGTTACCAATCGAGAGTAAAGATTTATCTCCCATCTGTGATCGGTTAAGTACTAGATAAGATCAGATAAGTCCCCTCGATCTCTCCTCCCCTCAGATCCGATCTCATCCTCTTCCCCTCCCCTCTCGTCCTCCCCTTCTCCCCTTCCTCCTCCTCCCCTCCACTCCCCTCCTCCCTCTGCGCGGGCGAGCGTCGGGCCATGCGCGAGCGAGCGGCGAGCGTCGGCGGGGGCCGGCGGTGGCAGGCGCGCGGCGGGCCAGGCGGCGGCCGGCGCGGGTGATAACAGTGAAATTTGGTAAGCCCAAAGTTACCATCGGTTTGGAGTCAGTATCGGCTTCAAAGTTCTAGAATCAGCCGAAGGGAGTCAAGTCGCCACGATGTCATGTTCTTGGTGGAGTCGAATCAATCAAAGGAAGCTTATCTAGAAGAGTTCGAGTTCAAGAAGGATGCGATATGACAGTTATCTGTTAATTAGGCATAGTTTGTTAGTTTCCTTTTATCTTTAGGAAAGTGTGTTTAGTGTCCGATAAGAACTTTATCTTTTCCTTTTTAGTTTCTTTCTTGTCCGACAAGGACTAGTATCTCCTTATGGGTATAAATATGTACACCCGGGGTCATTGTAATCTATCAATCTTCACGATCAATACAATTCAGCGCATCGCCACCCTTTTTACCTTTTCTACTTTATTTTATCGTCCGGCGTAACTTGGCACCCGACGGAGGGCTGCATCGGTGTTCGATCTCCGGCGAAGGGGTAAGTCCAATGTTCCGTCGGTCTAGGCAGTTGTATCGTCTACGTCGGCGTCGTTCAAGGCTGCATCAGTATATTCGACCTCTTGGATTGCTCTGGTTTGGATGATATATTTGCCTACCTATTTATCATATGTCTCTGTTAATCTAGACTTAGCATATCAATTTAGCTCTATCGGCTGCTTCTGGTTTTAGGGTTTCTGCCGGTATCGGCTAAATCGTGTTGCTAGATTAGATTAGCTTAGACATCTACCACCTTAAAAATCAGTCAACGGCTTGATTGTCTAGATATTATGTTTCTTTTCATACTTAGTGCTGCATCACTTAAGTTTGATCTACTAAGTCGTGCTTAAAACCATAATCTCTATCCTGCTTATTGATTGCCAACAAGGGTTTCATCGCGGTTTCAGCCGGTGAGTTATCTGAACGTTGCATTGGCTCATAAGGATTGCACATACATGTAAGTTGGATTTAGCCGATGACAACAAAGGTTTCACTGTTTAATCTAATCTTGTGGATTTCATGACATCGGACCTCCAGCCGATGTGTGCTTTAACCTTCGGATCGATGCTTATTTATCATATCATTGCTAGCCGATTGGTTTATACTGGATTATATTGTTATTTTATTGCATCATCATCAGCCGATTGCCTTTATATCATTATCTACATTGGACATATAGCCGATTGCATAGACCCTATCGCTATCGGCTGGTATCGGCATCGGCTATTATTGGCTACCAGGCTGGAACTACTCCATCGGCTGTCTAGCCGATTGGCTGTTTTGATCTACTACTTGCATATCTTGTCAGTTGCAGGATCAAACTGACTGGCACGCCCGCATCTCATCATATTTGGACCTGCACTGGAGCTAAGCAGATCTCCCAGGCCGGTGTGTTCGATTTTTTCGTCAACAGCGGGCAGGCAGCCTGCGGCGGCGGGGGGCACGCGGCGGGCCAGGCGGCGGCCGGCGGCGGCCGGCGCGGGTAGGCGGCCTGCGGCCGGCGGCAGCGGGCGCCCGGCGGGGCCATCAACGCAGGCGGTAGCCGGAGTCCTCCCGTTTTCTTGCCTGCAGCTGGAGTCCTCCCGTTTTCTTTTTTCTTTTTTTTTTGTGATTTGTGATTCACTGGATGTATAATTTCTAGAATTTGTGATTCATTGCATAGATTTGTTATGTGTTTTATTTTGTGTGTAATTTATTTAAGGATTTGTGATGTATTTGATTTGTGTGTATAAGTAACTTAGGATTTGTGAGGTGAATGATTTAGGATGTTACTTGATTTGGGGATATGAATCTCACCTGATTTGGGAGAAAATAAAGAGATTAATAGTAAATTAACAATGAAAAAAAAAACAAAAGCGGATCAACCGGGACGTGGCTCTATCATCTTTAGTCCCGGTTGGTAACATGAATCTTTACTCCCGGGAATCTGAACCGGTCTTTAGTCCCGGATTCCTTCTCCCGGTTCGCTACCTGGGAGTAAAGGTAGTTGTGAACCGGGAGAGATGTGGGGTTCTCCAGTAGTGATATATAAGATTGGCATACGTGAGGTGATACCTTGAAGAGAATGACACTGCTAGTGTTGGCACCAGTAAAAAAAATGGTTGCTTAATTTTCTGGACATAGACATACAGTAGAAATGGAAGGTATTGGGACAACCACTACAATCTAATAGAATCGATAAAGAGTTAAGGCATTCCTTCATGCTATGGGCCCTAATATGAGCTCGACATATTCAAGTTATGAGCATGGCCGACAAGTTTATAGCTAGGCTCGATCGAGCTTGGCTCGATCAAAGGTGGGCTGTACTTGAGCTCAGCTTCGATCCTCCAGCCATAGCTAGAGGTGGATTCTGGCAAAGATCCTACCAAATTGTTTTTCTCTAGTTTCTTCAATTTCTCATAGTTCTTACCATGTATTTTTCAGCTAATCATCCATCTTGTTTTTCTATGTACTGGTCAGTGACTTTTGGATGTGGCTGTGTTGTGCTACCTTACCTCTTCCTAATGAATGATGGGATTAATTTAACAAAGGGTAATAATAATAATGTGTTTAGTGTGCATGTATGATGGTGATCTTTCATGTAGACTGTATATTCCAGTTGGTACAAGCCATCTGTTTATCTATATTTGATCCACAGATGGGGTTTTGTTCTGTTTCCAGAGCACTGGTAGGTGTGTAAATCAAGTTTCATATAGATGAAACACATTTATTTTCTGTCTTAATAATTATCATCATGAGATGTCATCAGTTTAGCCTATGTGGCATCTCATTTAATAAGGTTGAAACTCTTATGAAACTTCCACTCGGAATAGCCATACAGGAGTGCACTAAGACAAAGAAAATATTAATAACTCTCCCATACCATATTTACCTCGGTAACAAACTCGAAGCATGTATCATCCCACTACTTCCGAGTCACTAACAACCAAGATATTACCTGTTAGTTGTAAAGTGTTGTGTAAATGAATACATGCATTAGGGTGTGTTCGCTGGTTCTGGTTCCCATCCAGCACAGTGAGCACGGAAAACGGAGTGATCTATTAGCTATTTTTTTTAAAAATAGATTAATTTGATTTTTTTTAAGCAACCTTCATATAAAACTTTTTTAAAAAAACGCACCATTTAGTAGTTCGAAAAGCATGCACGTGGAAACGAGGGAGAGAGGTTGGGAAAAGGGGCATCCGAACACTCTCTTTTTTTTTTAGATAATGGAATATAATATCCCGGCCTTTCCTCAAAAAGAACTACAGCCAATTATTACAAAGATCCACTCCAGAAGAGAGTGTAGTTTAAGACAAGTTGAACACACCAAACAAGAGAAGAGAGGACCCAAACTGAGAAAAACAAAACAAAATGTGGAGCTAGAAGGCCTCGTCAAGGCCTAGGACTGAAGTTCGAAGCCAATGCATAGACCAATGACAATATCCTTGCACGAAGAGGTTTCTCCAAAGTGGTGCCCCCAAGGAGGATGCGACGTGGATCGCCGCCACCGCTCGTTCGGAACCGAAGCAAGGTTTTTACCCAGAGAATATGGTAGGGAAAGGAAAGGGGTATGCTAAAACAACGCCTCCAAGGAGGGGAACGACGCCACACGGCGTCGCCGTTGTCAGCTAGCCAAATGGCTCGACAAGGCTTTCGCCCGCGATTCCCTGTCCAAACCCACACCACCAATCCGCACAAGAAGGATCGTCGTCGGTCAACAACATTGTCCCTTCAGCGATTCGGCCAAAGCCACCACCCACAGTTGTTGCCGCCGTCGACGGCGCGCCCGCACCCGGACTCCTCCTTCCCCGCCGCCAGACCCCTTCCCCGCCTCCACATACCGATGCCGACGACGACGCACCATCAGCCGGATGATGGCCTTCAACCATCGCCGCCATAGGTACCATCGTCGACAGCCGCCACCGCCACTACCACAGCCACCACCGTCGCCAGCCGCCACCGTCAGCCACCATCGCCACCACCACCGCCACCGCCACGGACACCCCCGTCCAGCCACCACCGTCAGCCACCACCGTCGCTAGCCAGCGCCGCCAGACGCCAGCCGTCCAGATCCGGCCGGGGTAGCGCGGATCGGAGGTGCAGCGCGAAACGCAGGTCGCCAGCATCATGGAGGAAGGCGTCACGGGCACGGCGTTCACAGCCGGAGCATTGACAGCTGCCACCGTCAGCCACCATCGCCACCGCCACCGCCACCGCCACGAACACCCCTGTCCAGCCACCACCGTCCAGCCGCCACCGTCGCTATCCAGTGCCGCCAGACGCCAGCCATCCAGATCCGGCCGGG